AATTTCATAAATCTCTTTTCTCTGATTTAGTAAGGGCTCAAATGTTGATACATCATCTTTGACAGAGGAATTGAGCTTGTTTGTAATACCCTCAACCCCACCATGAGTTTTTAACTTCTTCACGTCACGTCCATTAATAATTGATCCCGATGGAGTTATTTGAGATGCATATTTTGATTTGAGGGTTTGAAGTTCGACTTGGGTGAACTGGCTCTGAAGCTATTGATCAGAAACAAGGACACCCACAAAACTAGACATGATGATGATAAACTTTGGTTGACAAAAATGATTAAATAGTTCGAAGAACGCACTTATGGGTTAAGATTGATTTTTTTTTCATTTTTGCGCAAGAAAGGAATGAGAGAAAGAAGTGTGTGTTTATTTGTAAGAAAGTGAGAAATGGGGTGGAGAGAAAAAGGAGTCGTGAAGGACAAGGGAATGACCGAATGGAAATGACACGAAGGATATAGTGTGGGTAGCTTTGAAGGATGTCGCGAAGATAGACGAAAATGATGTTTGGATGGCAGTAGATCAGTTCTGATGAGGTTTGTAAATCCGGTGGTTTAGGAGGTGGAAACAGAGTTGGTGTCGAAAGTTGATCTCGTGATTCTTGACTTTCTAATATTGTTGGTGGAGGCATGCTGAAAATGTTCAGTTCAAAACTAGGATCAAGAGGTTTTTGGTGGAATCATTAAATTCACAACATCGTGAGAATCCAAACAGTTGGAGAAAGACTTGGCCATGGGAGTCGTTTCAGAGATAGGATTTATTATTTCAGTACAAAGTGAAAAATTACTATGTTTGTGCTTCGAAGTAGGTGAAAGTTTCATAGCCCTTAGGTCACCATAAATAGGAGAGACAAGTTCAACAACAAAATCTTCAATAAATGAACTTTTCTTGATGGATTTCATAGATTCCAAATATGCCTCCACATCTTCTTCCTCTATACCGTCTTCTGTGGAATGATTTTTTTATGGTTAAGTTCAACAGTAGGAGTTGGTTTTCTAACCAGAACTGGATCTTCCTCCTCTTCTATTTTCTCATCTAATTCCATGAAAGAGTGTCTCCATTTGGGTTTAAAATGCAAAAAAAAATTGTGAAAGCATTCCAAGAAAATGATGGGTGAGGTTAAATCCTCCATAGACACCATTTAAGAGCACAACCTTTCATTGTTATTGCAATTACCTTTTTCTTCTCCTCATCCTCCACAATATTGTTGTCTCTAAAATACTTTTCAATCGAAAAGATCCACCAAGATGATTCTTCTACTCCATAGAAATTAAGCAGGAACCTCATTTAGCAGGAATGAGATCAAAATGAAAGCATCAATTGATAGGAAGATTTTCCTATCAAAAAATATAAACTAGGGTTTCTACAATAAAAGGGGAAGAACACTAAAATAGAAAGATAAAATAAAAGGAATAAAAGACATTTTTTATTTGATTTATTGATTCCTAATGTCTCAATGAGACTATAATATATAATGGATAATAAATTTAAAGATCCAAATACTAGTAAAAGTACAATTCAACAATATTCAAAATAAAATAACAACTAACATAATTATATTACTAATTAAAATATCTAATTGCACCTCCTATCAGTATCAATCACAACAACAACAAAAAAATTATACTAATACAACCTAAGGAGGTATGATTTTAGGATGTACCATTAGCATTTGGGTCGAATGATGTTGTGAGGACCAAAAACACATTTAGACCACACACTATTGTCAATGTTTGCTGAGATATGGCATTCAAAGATATCGTCATTTCATCTCTCTATTTGTTAGATGAGCCTCACTTTTGACTATGTTATGATGTCTACTCCATCTTCCTATGAAGTTGAGTACGTGATCATTCTACAGATCATAGGTTGGAAGCATTAAACATGATGATCAAACAATTATGAGTTGGTCATCTGGAGGCCTAAACCTGGATTATACAAACACAAGGATTTCGTTCATAATTTAAATGGTTGAAAAAAGTGGGCATGGACCATTTAAATGAGCATGTTACTCATCACAATGATGATGCACTCAGAGAGTATCACATTTTTATGTGTCATTAACAATTATTTTTTATACTAGGTTGACACATCCATTTTTTTATAAGAGTGCAACGTATATTGATGTTCTATACCGAAAGTATTTCATAGATATACAAAGAATTCACGAGTATAACTAGGAAATTGCATGTCTAGATTACTTGAGATGCTCAACTAAATAAAACAAGTAAGAGTAAGGCTAGACAATTGCCAGAAAACATTTGTATATCTCAAGTAATATTCGTGTAACCTAATATTTTTATATAATATCTATATAATTCTTAATATTTTTTTGCTTAACATATTTTCAGTTATGAGCATTACATCATTTTCCTATTATCGCTGAGTGAGAAATGGTCAATGGATATGATAAAGAATTTCCTCTTTTCTTTTCTATTATATTCTCCACATATAGGACATACGACTATATAGACATTTTTGGATAGAATAATTTTCAACGTCAACTTTAACAACATCAGATTCAGGAACACTCGATTCATCATCCTGTAATATATTAGCATTCAGATCAATAACATATGATTCCTCAAAGACTAGATTGACAACATCATATAATCGATGCACGTAAAAGGATCATAATCAAACAAACATTTATATTGGTTCGAAAAATCCTTTTGAAACTGATTTGAAAACATCGAAATAATTATTTCTAACGTTATCAATTGTACTATAACAACAACACCAAAATATGAATCAATAGAAAGAGATATAGAAATATCTTATTTCTAATTTAAAACGGGGTAATTAATTATCTCTAATATAATTTTTTTTTAATTTACTCATTTATATATATCTATCAAAATAAACTATTAGAACACTCTTCAGATGGATTAAAAAACTCTATTATTTTCTAAACTCAACATATTTTTAATAGTAATAATTTTGTACTAAAATAACATTAATAAATAATAAAGTATTGAAAAAAATAATGGTGATAGTAGACTTTGGCCTCCAACGATGATCTACGGCATAGAAGCTCGATGGCTAGCCGCCCACAACAACCATTATTATTAATATTATTTAAATAAACAATAACATTTCAATAATTATATTTTTTAAATAAAAAAACAGTTGTCATAAAACAAATATTTAATCATTTAAAACTGTTTTTCATTAAAACTTTTTTTAATAAAATTAAAATTAAAAATAAAATTAAAAATAAAGACAAATAAAAACCTTTTTGTTAGATAATGGACGGATAAATTCATAGCAGAAAAACTAAAGTTTTATTTAGTAAAATTAGTTGGTAATCGATAATTGATTTGTAATTAGTAATTGATAGTTGATAATTGGTAATTGATAGTTGATAAATTAATTTAAGTGTTTGATAAATTAATTATTATATATATTGATAAATACAAAAAAACATAAAAAGATATTTTTAATTAAAAAAATTAATAGTCTTATTATATTATTATATTATATAACTAAATTAATTTTTATAAATAAATATAAATATATTTGGCAAACACATGAAAAAAAATTAATATATATTAAAATGGAAAATAATAATAAAATATATCAAACAATTATTTTTAAATGAACTTATATAATAACATTTATATATAAATTTAATGAGATATATAAAATAACATCATTATGATTTTGAATTTAATTATATTAATTTAAAATAATAATAAAAATAAATTTATTGTCTATTTTACAGTAAAACTCTAATATTATTACGAATCTTTGTCGTCTTGATAATCTCCTAATATTTCACAAATTTGAGAATTAGCAATACTATCTCTAAATTTATTACAAGATATGTAATTTGAATGCTGATAAAAAACCATTAAATATTGCATTTTCTTGTTATTTCACACGAATATAATTATACAACACAAAATCTATTTTTATTCTTTGTCTCACATATGCTTCTCCTCCTTTGACAACATCAAAAAGAAAGATGGCAAACTCCGCTAAGTATCATAATCTAATACAAATACTAGTATAGCACTAAGAGGCATTTTTGCATAAAAGAACAACAATCACACACACACACACACACACATATATATATATATATATATATATATATATATATATATATATATATATATATATATATATATATATATATATATATATATATATATATATATATATATATATATATATATATATATATATATATATATATATATATATATATATATATATATATATATATATATATAATAAAGATATAAATGAAAGAAAAAGTTAAAAGCTACGAGCTCAAAAGTTACTTTAAATAACTTTTGAGAAAAAAATTAAGAACTAGTAAAAAAAACTACAAACTAAAAGTTAAATGACAGTTACCAAATAAAACTTTTTATTAATATGAACTGAAAAACTAAAAGCTCTTTTTCTAGTGTTACCAAACAAAGTCTAAGTGCGTGTTTGATTTGGCTTTTGGAAGGGTCAAAAGCAATTCTAGAAGTGTAGAACTGATTCAAGGTTATTTTGAGATGATTGGTTAGACAAAAATAGAATTGATTCTGTCTTCATAATTGATTAAGGTAGAAACTATAATTGCTTTCAGAATTGATTCTGGATGATGTTTACACTGAAATTTATTGTTCAACTCACTTTTACATAAATTAATTCTATTAAAGTCAATTCTACTAGAATCAATTTTACCAAACTCAATTCTGTTAAATCTAATTTTGTCCACCGTCAATCCAAACACACTCATCCAAACACACTCCAAATTGAATTGGCATCATTCAAAGATAATGAAAGAAAAATTCTCATAATTGATAAAAAAAATAACATTTATTAATGATTAAAATATATCTCTAATCCTTCAAAATTTTGAAGTCTCAAAATTTGATTTCCAATAAAAGATTATTTCAATTCCATCCCAAATAAAAATATATAATATGTTCTGATCTGCTGTAAGATGCTTCGTATCTCAAACTGATTTTTGGAATCCACCGGAAACAATGTCAAACAGGCTTCATGAGCAAAAGATCTGCAATTGAGTCTGCTCCATACATCTTAATTAGCTCTTCCTGTTTCACCATCAAATCACAATCAAATTAGTAGCAATCTTTGAAATAGAGCATTGAGAAGCACAATAATGAAAACTAACATCAAAAGCTTTGAATAAATACTTGTCATCTAAGAAAATGGACATGAACACCTTCATGTTAGGTAACTTCCTTAGATAATTGTTGCACTAACTTTATTAGGAAGTTGGTTAGAAAGATCATTGGTTATAAAGAATTGAAAGGAGAGATTAAAGACCTTATTTTTATTTGTTTTAGAAAAGAACTTGGAATGAGATAGATCCAGTAAATATGTAAAGAGTTTTCGATCAATAAAAACAATTCTTGCTGTATTTAGAATCAATTCCTATTGATTGGGCTCAATGGTTAATGAATTCCACTTAAGAACAGATCGTTCGGGAGAACGCGAGTTTGAATTCTGGGCAAAACAAATTTTGGCCGGATTTTATTTACTAGTCAAACGCTGGTTTACCAGGACTCTCTTCTATCGAGAACCGAAGAGCTACCGCAAAAAAAGAGAGTTTCTATCAACATGTACAAGAGCTCCTTCTGAAGGTAGGAACATTATAGAATGGCACCCTAGAGGTCTAAAGAGAATTTTGTTTATCTGTCTGGTTCACTTTTAGGACATGGTCAATTTGTTTAGCAGGGTGTAGTTTTAGTCTACGAAGCACACCTTTAGGAGTAAGAAGTAGGTGTGTCGCAGTATCATTTGAAAGATAATAGAAGAAGCCTATGAGAGAGGGAGGTACCAAACGTCAAAATTTGGCAGTGTTATATTTCTGCGATTGGAGTTTATCCATGTCTTGTTATTTGAAAGAGCATAATTTAATGCAACTAAAATGTGGATTTGTAAATAGAAATTAAGTTAGGGGCTATAGTCACTTTTAATTATTTACCCATACTCTCAATAAAGTTATGTAATTGAAATAGTTTAATGCACCCTCAACAAAAAGCAAAGAAGCAAAATATTAGAAAACGAGAAGACACTTTAGTAATTAAAAGTGAAAATAGAAAATATTTTCTCTAACCAAACAAGTTGAATGAATGATCTGAAATGAACAAATAAGGAGAATTAAAATGACGGACCTCGATGGAATTGTTTTCAGTGGTGAGCTCCATACATTCCTCAGAAAGTGTAACGAGCCTTTGTGTTAGGGCGGAATTTTCATCCTTCAGAGTGTCTATCTTTTTACATAGCTCTTCACATTCTTGCTGCAAAGGCACAAATAATGAGAACATCAAATGCAATACAAATTTCAGAAAATTATAATTCAGAAGAGATGTAAAACAAAATAAAGGAGAAACACAAGTAAAATTCTCTACTTCCACAGTCGTAATCAAAGAGACTGTTTAGCTGTTTGGCAAAGCCAAGATCCTATGATTATACACCAATAATAACAACAAATTTCTGTTCCTTTTCATTTACACGGATAAATCGATGTCATAAAGCACTTCCGTGTTTAACCATAACCACGTACGTACAATCATGTTCGAAGGAAAGGGAAAGGTTGTTGAGAATGCACCATAAGTTCATAATAAGGAAACTTTTAACTTACATTTTTAAAAAATTAGATTATTAATATAAGCATGTCTATGAGACTGGTCATCAATGAAGGAAACTAAGAACTGATGCGTACTTTTGATCAACCTAGCTGGCCATGTGGAATAACCAACCAGGTTAAAAGTTAAAACACTGTTTCTTTGATATTTTGAAATCTAGCTGTCAATAATTACAAGTATATATATATATATCTTTAGTGTATAAAATGCAGCTTAGCTGGCAGAGTTCTGTGATATGCTTTAATAAATAGGTGGTCATAAAATTCCAAATTAGTTCAAGTATCTTGGGTAGGCATGTGGTTCGTTTTGTATTTGTCCCTGCCATTTGAATGCATGTTTGGGACATGAGGTCACAGGAAACAGCAAAGGAAAATAGAAACAAGAAAGTAATAAAATGCCAAGTAGAAAAAATAGGACAACATTGACTAACTAATTGTTTAATGTTCTCTCAACTATTTAATTAGATCACTATAAGATTTCATAATTTATTAAATAAAATTAGAGTAAGGACTTGAAAAAACATTTGGGACTAAAAGATGAGATGCAAAGTTGGAAACAAACCCAGAATTTCTTTATACATTTTTAATCATATTCAACCATTGTCGATTCCATAGATATTTCAATATTTTCTGTAATTATAAGGATACATATTTATATCGTAAAAACAAAAACCGTCTGCGTTGCACAAGTCATGGTCTAGTGTGTACCTGTTTTCGCATCCTTGATCTCTTAGCTGATTCCCTGTTTGACTGTCTTTTCCTTTCTTTTCTTATATCATCATCACCTTCCTGTCAAAAGAAACGTGGGAAAATATTTAAGAATCAAATTTCGTAACCTTAAGAAGGGGTTTACTATCTGAAATGTATTCACCAAATATATCTTGGTTGCTAGAATGAAGTGTAGAAAGAAAAAAAATTCAAACTAAAGAATTTTTTTAGACATGTTAAAAGTGCAACTTCTTACAAGATCAGTGGCCCGCAAGAACAACAGACTATAACTATTGCCAATTCGACTTGGCAATGACCATATCGATTTTTATAGGACTAGGTAGACATGTAACTGGTAGCTAACAAATTTAAGCATATCTAACAAGATTCCAGATAGAAAATCAACAATTTACATATCAATAGGTATCTAACAATACATTATACATACAATATGAGGGAACATGTTAAAGTTATGGAATGTGCTATAGACGTTAAAACACATGTTATAATCAACGCCATTAAAAAAAAATCTTATGTTATAATCAACATTGCAATATTTTTTGTCCTATGTATTTTTTTCCATGATAGTTACAAATGGCGTATGTAGATTGCAGAGAGTAGGTACTTTTAAGGAATTTATAAGAAATATCTAAAGATATATAAAGTAGGAGCTAGTCAATTGTCATCTCTTCTTTCTTTAGGTTGCTTTAGTACTATATTTCAACTTTGACTATGCAGTTGATTATTAGCATTAAATGTGGTAAAATTAAGATACAAAAGTCCAAACTTACAGTTGCATCAAATATGTGTGTTTATCGCAATGATTCAAAAGAGATTTTACAAGTAATATTAGTAAAAATTGATTGTTCTTATATTTTAGTTAATACACAAATAAAACCTTTTCATGCAAGTAACGTAAACCTGTAAATTTTTTAGTACCATATTTTTTAGTTGCGTATCAGCATCATCATCAGCACGAGATTCCTTGACGAATGTCTCCAAATTCTGAGTCAGCCCAGATGGATTTCCTACACGGAAACAAGATGCAAGACTGTTAGTCGCATGAGCTGCAATACAATTTTTGTTACTTGTCACCATCTAAACATTCAAATTTTAAACAATAAAACATGAGTTTACATTACTGAGTCGATCAAAAGATAAATTCATAATCTTACCATCCCCAATAATCATGTTAGGTTTCAGTGTCATACTTAAAGGAAAAACAACCTGCCACAAGAGGGATATAATTAGACTTTTTTGCCTAAGATTTTAAGCATATGACCTGTACTAAAGAATAAGTAGAAGCATTTATAAAATTCTAATTTCTTAAGTGTTTTAACTTCTAAACTTAACATTGGCAGAATGCCTATTAAATTCATGAACCACATATTGGTAAAAAAAATTGATAGATCAACATACATTGTTAATGCCCTCTTGTTCTTCACCTGGAAATCTCTTGCTTCCACTTGGCACACTGTGAACAGTTTTTTAGTCAGGCCAGAAAAAATGTTATCAACATTCTTACCAAAAGAACAGGAACAAAATGTACCTCATTAAGGTTCCATCCCTGTCACTCTTTGGCAATGAAGATGGGTTTCCATATTCTCTCGAATTCCCAGTTATTAAACTTAATGGTTGTGAGTTTCCGATAAATAATTTGTTGAAGTCTGAGTTTCCTTCGCCAATATTCCTCCTGCGTGCCATTTCGGAAAAGGCCAGAGTAGCATCCTGGCCAAAATGCATAAACATTTGTATATGAATATACAAACTCATACACAACTCATTATGGAAGTTTCTCTAAGATGAACAAACATTCATTGAATCCATCCACAGTAATTACTAAACCCAACCCCGCAGCTAAAGAAATACGAAAAAATTCTACTAAATATATAACAACTATAAAATGAATTCCATAGATATTATGATAGAAAAAACAATTAATGAAGTGCAACGAATACATTTATTGAAAGGTTTGGGTTCACCTTAGGTTTATTGGAGAGCCTTGTGGGATCATTTAGAGCATCACAATGAAGTAGTGCATTGTTTGCCTGCGCCTAACAATAAAGAATTTGAAAATGCAGCAGGCGGCTTGTCTAAGAAAGCGACTGTCATACAATGCAGTAATATGTATATCATTACCTGATTTTGCCACATGTACTGCTGATACAAGTAAGGACCAGCTGCAAGTGGATTATAATAGGGATTTGGCGCAGACCCGGGATTGTAATAAGCCTATTTAAAATTTAAAAGAAGATAAATGAGTCAGTTTTTTCCCTTTATGTACGAGACGCAAGTTACATGGCGAAAATACCATCACAAATTAGTTCAGAACAGAAAAATACATGCATAGTTGTAGACCAATGTGGGTGCATAGGTTGGTTTGGAGTTTGCTGTTAGAAAGAAAAATCAAAATAATATAAAGCATATCAGCTATAACCATAAGCAGACTGCACATTGAGAAAATTAGTTAAGATAGCGATAACATGATTTACTGACATCCTGAGGCACGAGAAAATTGTAAGGTCTCCCAAATGGATTGAATTCTTCTTTCCCCATCAAGCTCTAGAAACTTGTGAATCCGCCGCTTCCTAAATAAATAATTGCTTATAAATCAAAACACATTATGATAATGCACATAATGTCAAAGAACAATCTTGTACTCTTCAAGTGTTTTTCACAAAAGGATAGTTGCATAAGTTCATCAATTACTTAACCAAACATTCAAGATAATGGCTGATCAGGTCTGATAGGTTCAAACTTTGAAAAAACATGGAGATTATATATATGTACCTAAATAATTAAAAGCGAATTATTTATGTTCAATCAATACAAAATCGAAAAATCTTGACCCAGTCTTATTTCCTTCAACTGAATACTAGCCAATGATGTCAATAGCAGATTGCAAAAGATAGCGGTTTATTCAAAGTCTGCTATGCAACCTGTTATAGATTCACAATTCAACAATATTCTGTACTAAATAGCGTTTCATGGAATAATCGATATTTGTTCAAATGCCGCTATAGATCATATTTAACAACACTAATAGTGACAGTCGTTAAGCTCAGAATCTGTTTGGTGCAAAGAGTAGAGAGATGCTTATAACCAAAAAAAAGAGAGTAGAGAGAAGCTGTGAGTGATTTTAATGCAGGAGAGAGAAAGACTTAATGACAATTTGATTGTATGGAGAGAATGGAAAATGACCCTTTTCTTACTTGATTCACAAGTAAAGTAGAAGATATTAATGGTGAGAAAATGCTAATTTTTTTTATACTCATAAAATTTAGAAGAAATAGGCGCGTTGGGGTAAAATAATTTTACACTGAAAACCAATCAACAATCACGCATATACTTTAAAATTACTCTGATTATATTCTTCTCAATCACGCATATATTTTAAAATTACTCTCATGACGTGGCAGACGGATAATTTTTTATTGGACAACAGTAATGTATCTTATTAAACTCCAGAATTTAATATCATAATATCTTATATAAAAATATTTCAGCAATTAATACATCTAAAATTCAAAACTTTACTCCTCTCGGTCCAAATCCCCCAATGTTAGAAAACAATCAAAATTAAATAAACACCTAAATATCCTCTCCTTCATCTTCCCTCAATCAAACACAAAATCCATACATTCAGTTACAAAATCCACCATCAACAAAACCTATAAAAAATAAAAAATCATAATACATTTTTCAAAAAAAAAAAAAACACATAAAAATTACCACATTGTCAGAAATTCAAAAAGAAAATAAAAAAAATCACATCTACTTTATTCCTTTTAAGTATAAAATCTCGATCCGCCGCAAATTCTCCGCGCTAAAATGACACAATTCAATAGAGTAAAGTCTAATTAAGAATTATTTCGATAAAACAGTAACTAAAGTCCGAAATCAAACTAAACTTAACTAAATTGAAGAGAAAAAAAAGGATAATCATCATGTTTGAATCGCTAAAACAAAACTAACGGAAACAAAAATTAACAACAGAAATTTGAAAGCAAATAACAATTGAAGGAGATAAAGAAGAAAACGCTTCGAATTTACCGGAAACTGAACCGAAGTTTCAACGAAGTGAATGAACGTTAATGGAGAAGAGAAGAGAAGAGAAGAGAAATCGTTGTGGCGCGAAAAGTTTGTGTAATGTTATGAAAGTTTGATAAAACTCAACACTGTTTTATTTATTTATCTTCAAACGTGATTGAGTTGAATCAATTTTTGGAAATTTTTATTCGATACACTCGTGCGTTTGTTTCGGTGAATGTTGATCGTTGGATGGAAATTGAGTTTGGTGAAGCGCTGATATCAACGGTTGAGATTTCTTTGTTGTGTCTAAGTGATTTTGGTTCTGGTTCGGTGACGTTACTATATCTTGATGAATTTGGATTGTTATTAATTGCATAGATACTATTTTTACGAATAAAGAAAAGATTTATAAGTTTTATTTTCTGTAATAAATATATTCCTTGTAAGAAAAATAGATTCTTTATTTGACTTGTTTTCAAGAATTAAAATATAGTATTTGATTTTTCAACTTCTTTCTTTCAATTTTATCTTTTATTTATTATTTTATTTTTTACCTATTTAAAATTTGAATTTAGTTTATTTTAATTCTTAGTTCTATGAACAAATCAAATCCAAATTATATATAACTATATATAAATTGGAATACCAAGTTTTGATATATGTTTTTGTTTTAATTTTACCTTTTATTAAATAATTTTATTTACGATTTTACTTTATTTGTATGCTAATTATATATTGAATTTTATCTTATTTTTAAATAATTTTAAATAATTTAATTCTATTTTAAATTTTCAAATAAAATTTGATATACAACCCCTTAAATCAATTTAAACAAATTAGATTTAAATTTATTCTAAAATAACTTTGAATTAAAAATTAATAGTAAAAAATAATATAAGTAGTATAACTTTTGTTATTATAGAAAGAAAAAAATGAAAGAATTAGAAGTTAGAAAAATATGTTTCAAACTACTAATAGGCCTAACTAATTCCTCATAGCAAATTATTAACATTAATTAAAGATTAACCTATCACAATTCACATATTGATACAAGACACTTTACATGTTCCAGACTCATTCACAATGTAGATAAATATTTCCTTTATTCACTTTACACAAAATTGCACATAACTCACATAATATATATAAGTCACACTTGTATATCACAATTAACACATGTTCTCAAATAGAACACTTAACAACAAATCACATAGAGAGTAGGGATAATTTCACAATATTCAACATCATTCAATTTTATCAAATATCACATTAATTATAACACATACTTTAATATTAAAGCACACAATACCATCATAATAAATTTAATTTTAAAATTTGAATTTAATTTAACTTAATTTTTAGATCAATATAAACAAACCAAATCCAAATTATATATAAATATATAAATAGAATATCAAATTTTGATATATTTAAAAAAAATTACCTTTCATTAAATATATTTCATTCAAAATTATATTTTATTCGTTAACTAATTAAATATTTAAATTTTATCTTAATTTTAAATAATTTAAATCTAATTTAAATTTTAAAATTATATTTAATATATAACCCATAAATCAATTTAAACAAATTAAATCTAAATTCATTCTAAAACAACTTTGAATTAAAAATTAATAGAAAAAAATTATAACTAATTAATATAACTTTAGTTATTGTAGAAGAAGAAAAAGGAAAGAAATAGATTTTTTTTTTTTTTTGAGTTTGGAAAGAATTAGAAGTTATAAAAACATACTTCAAATTTTATGCGCAAGCAAACTACAAATTGTGAGTGAAATTAAACTATTGTTAACTTTTTCGTACGCAAGATATTAAATCAAACACGCAAAATTATTTATCTTTTATTATGAATTTTGCCGAAAAGTATCTTATCTTTTACTATGAATTTCCCCGTAAAATTATCTTATCTTTTATTCTGAATTATTTGTATGGCATTCACATGACATACACGATCCATGACTTTAGCCCATTTATATTTTTGATTCTTAATTCATATATTTCAATTCTCAAATTATATCTTTTAATTTTTGTGTTAGATATCTTGTCAGATAATTCGGTTGGTTGAATTCCTTCTTCTCAAATAAGTTGTTATTCCATGTTTCACCAATTAGTTTAAACTTATTCATGGTTATAAATTTTAATCATATCTAGTTCTTTAGTATAGTTATTATCATAATGTTGGAACAAAAGTTTCAAAAAGATGATTTTGTAAAAACAAGAAGAAGAGAGAAAAATTTGTGAGTTAGTTAAGTGTAACTAATTTTTTAACTGAATGAATTATTATATTTTCTGTACTATGATTACAAACATAATGATCCTTTATATAGGCAAAATGTCTAGACCCACATACATGTTAAAAGCCCTAATAACTACATAACAAAAATTAATCAACTAACACACCTTCTTAATTCATGTTATCAAGATTTCTCATCCCGACACCTTTCTTTAACTCTTCGAACCTCACTTTCTTCAGAGGTTTGGTGAATATGTCAACTAGTTGCACTTCTGTCTTGCAATGTTTTATTTCAAGCTTCCCTTTGTTGACTTGATCCCTCAGAAAATGATATCTTCTTTCAATGTGCTTACTTCGACCATGACACACTGGGTGATTCGCAAGGTTTATAGCTGACTTGTTATCAATAAACAACTTTATCTTCAAATCCATTATTCTGAGTTCTTCGAGTAGCATTTCGATCCATGCTGTTTGGCATGCAGTATATGATGCAACCATATATTCTGCTTCGCATGATGACAAAGCCACAATGCTTTGCTTCCTCAAACTCCAGGAGATTGGAGCTCCTTCAGTTATGAAAATGTATCATGCAATACTCTTCTTTTCATCTTGATCTCCACTGAAGTCTGAGTCAGTGTATCTATGAACTTCAACATCTGAGTTGTTCTTCGATTTCTTTGGTAACAACACACCATGATCAAGAGTTCCCTTTATGTATCTCAACACCCTCTTCACTGTGATGAGATGACATTCTTGAGGCTTCTCCATAAATCTGCTCAACAATCCTACACTTTGGCAGATATCCGGTCTAGTATTACAAAGATACCTCAAGGATCCAATGATTTGTTTGTAAAGGGTCAAACTTATAAACTCATCATTTGATTCCTTTTTCAGCTTTGCTCCAGTCTCTAATGGAGTAACACTTGTCTTACAGTTGCTCATATTTAACCTCTTTAGTATATCTTGAGCATACTTCTTTTGATGCAAATAACTCCTTCTTCGATGTCTTTGAATTCCATTCTCAGGAAATATGAGAGATTCCCTAAATCATACATTTCAAATTCCTGCATTAACTTCGACTTTACCTTCATTATCTCAGCTTCGTCTGCTCCTGTAATGAGTAAGTCATCAACATCGAGACATAAAATGATTCGATTGACACTTTCGACATCATTTACATATACCCCATGTTCAGAGATACACTTTATGAAACCTGCTTCGATTAGGGAGTTATTTATCCTTTTATTCCAAGCTCTAGGAGTTTGCTTCAAAC